GGTGAGGCTAATTTTTCAGCTGTTACATGGGTGCAACTAATTTCCTGGGTACACCACCAACGTATGAAGTCATCTTATGTCCCTGTTTTGAGTCCTTCGTCAGGTCCGAGAAATAATGGAATAATCATAGTGAGTGATATGGCCTGAATGTAGAATTCCGTGGGGTTTCAATATTTCTCCGTCTATAAAAAGGAGGTTTGGTTTTTTTATTGCCCTGGTTCACCAAAACATTCCTTTGACTAAACATTTTGTTTTTAGCTATGAACCTAGTTACATATATGTCACAGTCAAAGTATGGTGTTATCTATCGAGTTCCATAAAATATTAACCCACTGTCTACTGAATCGCTGTGTAGGGTACAGTCCGCCTCTGGCTGGTGAATACAAGTGTGCTGTATAGAGTGTACGGCTTGCAAAAATTCCCCACCTGTTTAAAGCAGCCACAATCAAAGGGCTAAGCATTGAAATAGTTAAGTGGTTGGTACACTATTTACCGTAGACAGATAGATAGACATACATATAGCAAAGTCTACAGTAAACAGTGCACCACTTAACTATATATATATATATATAATTTGTTTTCCATTTTATAATCTAACTCTTTCAATAGAATTTTATATATGTAGGAATAACGTTGTGTCAACAGCTTCTCAATTCAGAAATCAGAATAATTAACATTTGATAATGTTTTCAGAATTGTAGAGTGTGCCATTGATGTTTAGGATTAAATTTTCTCATTAGGTCGGGCTTGTTTCTTCTTTTCCTTTAGGTTCGGTGTCGCTGATTGTGTTAGTCGGCATCCTGTGCATTTACAGCATCGTCACAAGACAGAGAACTCGCTATCATGCTCTTCATAAGCTACAAGCCAACACTTTATTTGATGATGAAGACGACCTTGATCCAAAAGATCCCGAATCTATGAAGAAACTTCTGAAACCGGAAGAATACAGGGATGACACCAGTTCAGAAGATGAACTGTATAACACTTATAAATGGAAAAATGGTAAACCACGGTAAGTGTTTAAATTATTAAAAAATAATCTGTTCAACTTGGTAATAAATACTGAACATTTGTAAATAGTATATTCTGTTGTCAACATGAAAGTTATTTCTATAACATCCGATATATATGTTTTGTTATTTTTTTTACCTGCTTTGTGAGATACTCAAAATGTGTAACAATTTTCTTGCTATACATAGGTTTCACATTTGACTTTTTTTTTATGGCATGCTACTGTTTGATCAGGGTACATATGCATCCTTGAAAGCCCTTGAAATTGAGAATGGAATTTGGAGGGCTTGAAAGTGCTTAAAAAGAGGCCTTTTTTTGTAAAGGTACTTGAAAATATTATAATAGCAAGATATATTGATATATCTAACTTTAACACTTTCAGCACGGGCTCAGGCCCTGGGACCAACCTCGTAACCCATTTGTGCTTGTTATAGTTTTCGTGCTATAACTTTTAAATTAGTAAGCAAATGTTAACGAAATTTGGCAGTTTATCAGTAAACATTACGATGTTTTCGTACGCAAAATATCTAATTTGTTTTATTAAGTCATAAGGTTTGTAAAGCAATGTTTCTTTGGTGCCTTTTTTTTTCCCTTTGCACACGTTACCTATCTATCATGC